ATAGATAGATAGATAGATAGATAGATAGATAGATAGATAGATAGATAGAGGGCACAGGGTGAATTGAAGATGAAAGGGTGATATCTGGAGAATAAAATTAAAATTGAGAGAGGATTATATTGGGAAAAGGAGAAAGGGAGAGGCAGAATAGGGAAAATTATCTCACATAAAACAGACAAGAAAAGGCTTTTACAGTGGAGGGGAAACAGGGGAAGGTGAGAGGGAATGAGTGAATCTTATTCTCTTCAGAGTTAGCTTAAGGAGAGAATAACACATATATTCAATTGGGTATGGAAATCTATCTTACCCTACAGAAAATGGGGGAGGGCAGGGGACGAGATCAGGAGGATGATAGAGGGGAGGGCAGATTTGGGGAGGGGGTAATCAGAAGCAAACACTTCTAAGGAGGGACAGGGTCAAAAGAGAAAATAGAATAAATGGGGGACAGGATAGGATTAAGGGAAATGTAGTTACTTTTCACAACATGACTACTATGGAAGTGTTTTGCATGACTACACATGTATAACTTGTATCAAGTTGTTTGCCTTCTCAATGAGGGTGGGTAGGGAGAGAGGAAGGGAGAAAATTTGGAACTCAAAGTTTTAAAAACAAAAGTTAAAAAATATATATTTTCACATGCAACTGGGAAATAAGATATACAGGAAATGAGTTATAAAAATCTATCCTGCCCTACAGGAAAATTGAGGGGGAAGGGGATAAGAGAAGGGGGGGAGAGATAGAAGGGAGGGTGGATTAGAAAAAGGGGTATTCAGAATGCATGCCATCTTGGGGTGGGGGGAGGGACGAGATGGGGAGAAATTTGGAATTCAAAATCTTGTGAAGTGAATGTTGAAAACTAAAAATAAATTAATAAATTATTTTTAAAAAGGGGGAAGGGTGTCCCAAAGATAGGTTGGAAAAATGAAGTGAGTTTTGAGGAAAACAACAAAAATACATTGAAAACAGTGTAAGGAGAGAGGCAAGATAAAGAAAACAAAACTTAATTTTCTAGAATTCAGCTACACTAGTGATATCTCTAGCCTCTCAATTACATTAAGGAAAAGAGGGAAAATGAGAGGCACCACCTATGTTTTGGCATTGGAAAGGAAAAATACATGTTGTTATACATTTCATTTACTCATATAATTTCTTCTAAATTGAAGAGTCCTTTGAAATACACATACATGTATACACACATATACTTGTATGTGTATGTGTGTGTGCACACACATGTATATAATCTGGAGATAATCACAAAGTGAAGGCACAAATATTAAGGAAGAAAGATGAAAGATTTCTCACAGATGGTAAAATTTAAACTGAGATTTGAAGGAATCCAGGGAAGCAGGGGCCAGGGATTAAGAGGGAGATCATTCTAGCCATGGGGACAGCCAGAGAAATTGTATGGAGTTGGCAGTTGGTTTTTGTGTGAAGAACAAGAAGGGTACTGGTATTGGATCATAGCGTATATGGATACATGGAGGTCAATAAGGTATGAAATAGCAGAAATAAGAGATCAAGTTATAAACAGTCTGATAATACAAAATAATAAAATTTATGTATGTATAATTATGTTTGTGTAATTGTAATATATTATATTTGTATATTATCAGCTTTATGTGATATATAATATATTTGTACAGATCATATCATGTAAGTGTATGTGCATATATTTATTCCTCAAGGTAACAGGATGACACTGGACTATATTATATAATTTTGCAGATTTCTAGAATGGGTATTAATATTTTATCTATTACTGTTCGGTTTATCATTGACATTGATCAATATCACAATCAACATAGAAATTAATTTGAAAAGTTGTATAGTCATTAATACATTAGCTTTGAAAACCTCAAAAATGCATTATGCCTTCAATTATTTAACTTTTCTCTGATCTGTAAGTAAAGATCTTCAAGTGAGGAATTTCCTCTACCAGTGAAGATCAGCAAATATCCTACAATTTGTAGTTTTGGGGACTTGACTAGGTGATTAAATGATTTGCTCACCATTACTCAGCACATGTCAGAGCAAAGATTTGAAACTAGATTATTCTGGCTTCCAAGAGCTGTTTTCTATTCACTATATCACGTTAGTCCTGTTTCATACCTTTCATAATTGAATTTATAGAAGTTCTCTAGGCATCTTGGTACTTAATATATTCAAATAATATATTAAAAGATACTATTATGTATATCTATGATTTTATGATTGTTGTTGTTGTTTGTCCTTCATTCTCCAAGAGGACCATGACATCAGGGAGGTGATGCCATGACTTGCAAGTGAATTGGATTTAAGTGAGAGAGGGCTGTGCAAAGTCCTCAGCCTCAGTTTCTCCTGCAGAGCCATCTGGGTCCAGTGGCAAGATATAGATCAGGACAACTGGTGATAGTTTAAGTAGTAATGTACAGAAATAAATACATATGTGTGTTTATATGTATGTGTGATTATAGGAGGAGAATAATGTTGGCATGGATAGAAGGCTTCTTCTGAAAAACCTGGATTAATACTTCTGTTTTTATATAAATGCCATGAGGATTGCAAAGTGGGTTCTTTCCAAGAACCTCAGGCAATAGTTCTTATACAGATTGTTTTGCAAATTTCATAGATAAGGAAACTGAGTTTCAAAGAGGTCAAATGACTAGTCCAACTGGTCACATAGCCGGTAAATATCAGACCATGTATTCAAACCCAGATTTTTAGCTAGTGTTCTTTTCACTACACTATCCATTCTGGAAGTGGGGTAGTGTTCAGGGAAAATAGAGAGCTAATTTAATCATGAGGAGTCTCAGACACTTAGCTGCTGTGGCATCCTTTTGGATCTGTAATACCTGACAATTAGGATAAAAATAAAGAGTCTCATCTCTCTGTAAGGTGACCTCATCCTGACTCTGGGAACCCTGGAGTTAGATAAGAAGCAATAACAGTAACATATGGATTTGAATTAAGCTGCAAGAAATTTCTGAGCCCAATGCCATTCCTCAAGAATCCAAAGATGAGACCCAGCCATGGACTCAGAACAATATATCTTCACTCCGTGGGTTTCTAAATTCTTTTCATCCCTCCTATGTCTATGACCCTACCTGATTCTCACAATCCCTAGGAGTCAAAGAAAGTGTCTGTCCCATTTGATCTTAATTGTTTTTTTTTTAAGACTCTAATAATCACTGCTAAGGTAATAGCTTCATTAATTAATACCAGTTCTTGCTGATGACTTATACATAGTGTTAGGGGAATTTACTTTGCTCAAAACAGCCTTGCCTCCTCTCATAGACTGCCATCCTTTCTATATGTGACATGATAATCACAACTCTGGGGAAAAAAAAGAATCAAAGAATTTCATTCTTATAAATAGGGTCCTCACAGTGCTATTCTCTCAGACACAAGTGCACAGAAGATACAGGCATGCACACACGCACGCGCACACACACACACACATCTAAATACTATAGACCTGTTCTTTCTCTCAGCTTTATAGATTAACCTGATAGATCTTTATATCTAAGTCTCAGAGACAGGAGCTTAGATGAAAATGATTTCTTTCAGGAGACCTTAATTGGAAAAGGAATAGACAACTGGAGAAGAATCTGGAAAAGGGCATGGAATTTTTTAGAGGATAGAGAAGGGGCGCTTTCTCACTAAGGTTTCCTCTCCCTCCCTTTTCTCCTCTGGGTTGAAATGAGGAATCTCTCCTGTTCTTAAGGCTGTAGATTCCTGTAATCTTTGTCCCTTTCAAATCTCTACTCTTACCTCCGCTGCTGTTTCTGCCTCTCTGATTGCCTTGCTCTGATGTCCACTAGGATCTCTGCCCTTAGCTCAAGGCAATAGAATTAGTAAAGGCATTTACTTAGAACCAAAATGAAAATTAAAAACCCAAAACAATTTCAACACTAGTTCCTCAAAAAAAATGAAGCAATATTTTTGTGTCAACCAGTCTCATCAAGTATGATCACACCTCAGCCTGCCATTTGACTCATTAACAGATTCATTCTCAAGATGCAGAATTACAAGGTAATTACTTCATTCACTTATAAATTATTAATTTTATATTATTTAATGGAAACAATGTTAATTAACAACATGGTAATATCTTTTCTCATGCATGATTGCTTATCTCTCACTGTATATCAAAATCTTATTTCTCTAAGACTTAAATAAGCATCACAAGCACTAGTATAAAATTTATTAAAAATTGAAGTAATAGCACAAAGTTGCAAAAATAGTTTAATGCTTTAGCTGGGAGGGAAAATCACAGCTGGAGTCAATCATTTATATTAGTTGATATACATGTATATATAATAAATATATATTCATATTAGTCAACCTAATCATCACTATTATATTTTACTTCTCCTTAGGTCTAAAACAGTAACCCACTTCAGCTCTTAAATTGATAGTGAAGGACTCTCAAGAATCTTATTTATTCACAATGTAAAACTTAAACATAACCCTCTTAGAGAAATAGAGATTTTTTTCTTAATCCTTTTTCTCTTTCTTCTCACAATTTTTCTCTTGGTATCCCTGCTAATTATCTATCCTAAAAGCATTCTTTTTACAAATGAGAGTAAAAATTCAATCTATTTACAAATAGAATAGCTATTAAAACATTGTCTTGTAACAGATTCTTCATGTATTAAAGTTAAAACATGCTCTGATATTTGCAGGTCTGCCAAATTATCTGTCACTGTTCAAAGTTTCAAATTTCTTTAAGTATCAGTATGTGTATATGTATATATGTATATATATATATATGTATGCATGTATGTATATGTAGATATGTATATATATACACAGATAATGTAAAAATAAAGATATCAATCAAGTATATATATACACACACATACAAGTATATACAAGCATACATATATATATATATACTTGATTATATCTTTATTTTTGCATTATCTCTCTCTGTATATATTTTATATATACACACATATACACATACATGCACACACACATATATATATACATATATGTATATGCACACACACATTTAAAGAGTTTCAAGATAATGCAAAATAAAGATATCAACCAATTATGTGTGCATATATGTACACATATGTACATTCATTGTTTATTTTTACTTTGCCTCAGAGGATCACAGGATCAGTGATAGATATGCAAGAAACTTTAGCTCAAATTTAATTGAAATCTCTCACTTTACCAGTGAAGCAATTGAAGCACAGAGAATATAAGTGATTTCTCTAGATTTCTCTAAATCACAGGCAAAAAATGGCAGTGCTAGATCCAAATCTAGAGTCTCTAAATATAAACTTTCTATTCTGTGGCTATACCTGATAATTACATTGAAAAGCCTCTTTTTTGATTTACCTGACTCTTTATATAATAAGGTGTCTAGAGGGCATATCATTGTCAGAGCAGCAACAGCATAGAGAAAAGGTATTCTCTCTTCTTTTTTCTCTCTTCCTTTGCTCATCAATCTTTTGTGTTCCTTCTTTATGACCATCCATTCTATTACAACTAGTGAGGTCTTACCACCACCCCAGCTGTCAAGATAGACATAAAAATCAAAACTTAAGACTGTAGTAGTGAATTGAAAAGAGACCAATTGAATAATTTTAAGTTCTTGTGGAGGTTACTATGGGGAAGGAAAATCCAAGTTTTCTCTCAAAAAGAAAGAGAAATCCATATGAACAATCTGATAGAGAAAGAGGGGTAATTCAGGCAAAAAAATATTTGACAAGGACTCTGGAACTTTCAACTTATTCCATATATATGTCTGATGATGAACACATGCATAGACATACAAATACATACATTCAGAAAGATCAGATTCTGCTTATAACCTTGACCTATACATGGAAACAATAAAACAATATGTTCCTAAGTGACTTGACTCAGTGAACACCGTTCTGCTCAAACACACAGGTCTTTACAGAAAGAATCTTGAGACCTTCCATAGATTAGGGCTGTTAAGTCCTGACATCAACTAATTTCCTCATGGTGCCTAAATATTTGATTCCTCTATCATTAGCACCTTGTATTGTGTTAATTACTGATATTGTGGGGAACTATAATATGTATATGTAATATATGTAAGTATGTATAGATGATAGATCATTACATAAATACATATATTTGGGAGCAGCTTGGTGAAACAGTGGATACAGTATAAGGCCTGGAATCAGGAAGACCTGAGTTCAAATGCAGCCTAAGATACTTACTATCTGTGTGATCCTACACGAGTCACTTTACCTCTGTTCATCTGTTTCCTCATCTATAAAATGGGAATAAAATAGCACATGCTTCCCAGCATTGTTGTGAGGATGAAATGAGATAATTATAAAGCACTTAGCACAGTGTCTGGCACATAGTCAGAGCTATATGTTAAAGCAGATCTTATCTTATCTAAAAGCCAATAGGAATGGAAGACGTGACAAGATATTAATAACTTTCATACAAATATTAACCTTCCCAGAGTTCATCTAGAAGCAATAAAAAAGACATTTTCAGAAAAGTCTTCCAGGTAAGAAGGAAGAATGAATAGGAATTCTATTGAACATGAAGAGTACCTCCCTTATCTCAAACTGAGGGGCTCAAGCATACTTTCATTTCCGTAACAAACCTATTCCTAATATATAGACTTCACAATTATTACCTTGCTATTGTTTCCTCCTTGACCTTCCCTATAGGCCTTGGGCATAAAACATATTATCATCCCTACAGTTTTACCAGCCTGGGATATCCTGCTGTGAGGGCCAGCCCCTTCTCAAATTGGTGAGTTCTACCTGGGGCCTCCATTTGGTGGTGAGGTCTGCACCAGCAATTATTCTTCTCCCAGAGCCTTCTACTAACTTTTGGATTTCAAAACCATGCCCCTGGACTGGGAATCTTCATTTCCCTTTAGTCCTCTCGGGTCTCTCTGATTTGTATCCTTCCTTTATTTCAACTTAAGTTTCTTGCTCTCAGTATCTTTTATTATATTCCCAGCATGTGGTACAGTGCTTGGCATCTAGTAAAAGATTTATAAATACATTTTTTTCCTTTCAGGTAATGAAATTAACTACTTATGTTTCTTTTCAGGATTCATTCATCTGACTACTGTTTGCCTCTCTTAAACAACAAGAAAATGATTACTAGTAATAATGTACTAAGAGTTTTCTTCCTTTCTCAGACAGGAGTTGGGGCCCTGGGGAACTCCTTCATTCTGGTACTTTATACCATTACCTTCTTCACTGGTCATAGATTAAGACCTATAGACTTAATTATTACCCATCTGGCTTTTGTCAATGACTTAGTACTTCTCTCCAAAGGGATCCCTTATACAATGTCTGCTTTTGGACTCATTAACTTCATGAATGATTTGATATGCAAATTTGTCATCTACTTTCACCGAGTGGCCCGTAGCCTTTGTCTCTGCACCACCTGCCTCTTGAGTAGTGTCCAGGCCATCACCATCAGTTCAGGGAGCTCCAGGGGGGTCCAGTTCAAAACCCAAGTCCCAAAGTACATTTCCCTCTTCATTCTTTTCTGCTGGACCTTCCAACTCTTGACCAATTATATTCTTCTAGAGACTATAAGCAACCCAAAGATTAGCAAAAATGTCACTAAGATAATAGATTTTGGCTTTTGTACTTTTGCATTTCTAACCTCAGTTAACATCTCACTATATACGTTTGTAATCTCTCTTTTCGACATTGTTTGTATGGCAATCATGGTCTGGACAGGTGGATATATGATATTTTTCCTATGCAGATATGACCAACAAATCCAGTATATTCATAGCAGCAAGCTCACTCCTAGAGGTTCCCCTAAGACCAGAGCCACTCGAACCATCTTGCTGCTGGTCAGCTTCTTTGTCTTCTTTTATTCATTAAATTCTATCTTTTCATGGTATATGTATCATATAAATCTACTCCCCTGGATGGTAAACTACTCTGGCTTCCTGGCTGCCTGCTTTCCAGCTTTTAGCCCTTTTGTGCTGATCATCAGTGATTCCAAAATTTCTATGTACTTCTTGACTCTCTGGGGGATGACAAAGCCCCAATCCTTATACTCTCCTGGGGGATATTTCAATAGCCTCTTCTTCCGAGTCCACCTACAAAGGATCCTGCCAAAGGGAAAGAATCTAATAGGTTTTTTAAACAGAAGTAGAAATCCAGCTGGTCATTCCATCCCCCAGTCGCATAATAGTCAAAGGATAGGAACACGCAGTTGTTAGAAGGAGAAAGCAAAGTTATCAATAATCAAATGAAAAAGTCCTCCAAATCACTATGGATTAGAGAAATGCACATTAAAAACAACTCTGAGATACCATCTCAAACCTATCAGGTTGGCTAACATGACCAAAAAGAAAATGGCAAATGCTGGAGGGGGTGTGAAAAAACTGAGACACTAATACATTGATGGTGGAGTTGTGAACTAGGTCAACCAATATGGAGAACAATTTGGAACTATGCCCAAATGGCTATAAAACTGCATTTACTCTGACTCAGAAATAACACTACTATGTCTCTAATCCAAAGAGATCATTCAAAAACAGAGGAAAAGACCTATTTGTACAAAACAATATTTATAGCAGTTTTTTTTTTGTGATGGCAACGAATTAGAAATTGAGGAGAAGTCCATCAATTGGGGCAGCTAGATGGTGCAGTGGCTAAAGTGTCAGATCTGAAGTCAAGAACACTTGAGTTCAAATCAGGCCTCAGACATTTACTAGCTGTGTGACCTTAGGCATGTCACTCAATCCTGTTTGCCTCAGTTTCCTCATCTGCAAAATGAGCTGGAGAAGGAAATGGCAAAATTCTCCAGTATCTTTGCCAGGAAAACCCCAAATGGAGTCATGAAGAGTTGGACATTACTCAACAACAACAACAATAACAACCATCATTTGGGAAATGGTTGAGCAAGTTATGGTATATGATTGTAATGGAAAACTATTGTGCTATAAGAAATGATGAGCAAAAAAACCTGAGAAGACTTATATGAACTCATGTAAAGTGGAGGGAATAGAACCAGGAAAATATTTTACACAACAGCAATATTCTAAGGAAGATATGTTCCCATAAAAGTCTTAACTACTTTTATCAAGACAATGATCCAAAGTGAATGTTGAAAACTAAAAATAAATAAATTAATAAAAAAAGAAAAGTGAAGAGGGGAATCAGTGCCCTTTCAGAAAAAAAGAAAGGTCAAAGGAAGGAAGGTTGAGGTAAAGTCAGATTGAAGTGGTTTCTGAATAGGAACTGTGTGTTGGATTTGAGAAAAAGATCACATGGTGTTATCCATAGTGCTTATTACACACTTGTACTGAATTGAATTGAATTAAATGAAGAGAAAAATTTAAAAAAGACAATGATCCAAGACCATTCCAAAGGACCCATAATGGAAAATGCCTCCAGAGGGAGAACTGATGAACTCTGAATGCAGGTTGATGCATGCTTTTTTTTTAAAAAAAGAAAGTCTTTATTGTTTTATTTTATTTATATTTTCTTTTGAACATGGCTAATATGTAAAAATGTTTTGCATAACCTCACATGTATAATCAAAATTAAATTGCTTTGCTTTTCAAGGAGGGGAGAGGGGCATGAGAGAGGGAGAGAATTTGAGACTCAAAATTTTTAAAAATCTGTTAAATTTTTTTACATGTAATTGGTAAATATTTAACAAAATAAGTAAGAATAATTTTTAATTGACTGATTAATTAAAACCTGACTTTTCCAAGGTATGTGATAAGTAGCTATTCCTTGAGGACAGTGTTGAAGGAATTATGGTTTAAAATGAACTCTTGGATGTCCTTTCCTTTCAAGCTATGAAGTTCTGTGAATTCTCAGGATGGCTCTTATCCTTTCTCTCCCCAGGATCATTTCCCTCTCTAAAGTTATGCAGGCAAAACCTTGCCTTGATGTTAATATTACAAAAAAAAAAAAATACTAGGTATGCTGTTCAGGGCCTCATGTGTTAATGAGATGTCAAGGAATTATAAACTCCACCTTTTAGGATTCATTCTCATGTTTTCTCACTTGTGCTCATCAATGTGAATCACTGTTTCTCCCCCCATTTCTATTTCTCTTACTCTTCATCTTCTTCCTTTCCTTTCCATTTAATACATACAAATACCTACGGAGAAAGGTAAAACTTTTTCACAGTCACGGTCACAGTCACTGCCATTGATAGAGGGTAAAAATAAGTCTAGAATAACATCCCAGAGAGATTTTCCTGACAGCAAATCCTTCCCAATTGACTCATGATTACAAGTTTAGGAATGGGTTAGTCTAAATCTTTGCACTGTGCAACTAATTGCTTTACTACATGTAAGAGGAAGCTGTTATTGGGGAAGACATTCTCCAGGGTTCTGAGAAAGGCCCTTGTTCTTCTCTCCCTTGCTATTTAGGAGGAGTAAAAGAAGCTCCCTTTCTCTTACATAATCTCTAGGGTTTGGATCCATTATTTTGCCACCAATGACAAGGCTTGAGTTTCTAGTCTGGTCTATGAAAAGCGTTGTTCTTGAATTGAAGACTCTGTTTTTCACATGGGAAACAATACTTGCTTCTTTTGTGACCAGATAAGCGGGGCTCAGGTCCATCAGTTAGCCTTACCTAGAATCACTTCACTATCATAGAAAAAGGATGTTTTTCAGAAATAGTATTTGTAGTGCTAGTATTAATTGAGAATCCATTTCTCAATTTCTTTATTTTATTTCTTTTAGTTGTGTATGTTTCACCCCTTTTAAAAATATTTTATTTCCCCTCAATAATATTTAACATCCATTTCGTAAAACCTTGAGCTCCAAGTTCTCTCCATCCCATCCTTCCTTCCCCACTCATTGAGAAAACAAGCAATTTGACATAGGTTGTACATGTGCAATCATGCAAAACATGTTTCCATATTAGTCATGTTGTGAAAGAAAATACAGACCAAAAAATAAATAAATAAAACAAGAAAAATAAAGTTTAAAAATGCTTCTTATGGCATTCAGTCTCCATCAGTTCTTTCTCTGGTTATGGATAGCATTTTTCATTAAAAATTCTTATCAATTGTCTCAGAGCACTGTATTGCTTAGAATAGCTAAGTCATTTGTAGCTGGTCATCATACAATATTGCTGATAATGCGTACACAGTTCTTCAGAGTCTGCTGACTTCACTTTACATTAGTTCATGTAAGTCGCTCCACATTTTTCTCAGAGCATCTGCTCATCATTTCCCATAACACAATAGTATTCCATCACAATCATATACCACAACTTTTTCAACCATTTCTCAATTGATGGGCATCCCCACAATTTCCAGTTCTTTGCCACCACTAAAAGAGTTGCGATATATATTTTTAAACATATAAGTCCTTTTCTTTTTTCTTTATCTCTTTGGGATACAGACCTATTAGTCTTATTGGTGGATCAAAGGCATGGTTTTATAGTTCTTTGGGCATAGTTCCTAATTGCTCTTCAAAATGGTTGAATCAGTTCACAACTCCGCTAACAGAGCATTAATATCTCAATTTCCCCACATCCTATCCAACATTCATCATTTTCTTTTTTCTGCCATATTAGGCAATCTGACATATGTGGGGTGATATCTCAGGCTTGTTTTAATTTGCGTTTCTCTAATTACTAGTGATTTAGAGCATTTTTCATATGACTATAGATAACTTTGATTACTTTGTCTGAAAACTCATGTTCATATACTTTAACCATTTATCAATCCAGGAGTGGATCTTATTTTTATAAATTTGATTCAGTTCTTTATATATTTGACAAATGAGGACTTTACCAGAGATGCTTTCTATAATTTTTTCACAGTTATGATCACTATGTATTTCCCTCCATCTTAATCACACCACCATTTATCCTACTCTTTGTCTCCTTTCACCCTGTCCATCTTCAAAAGTGTTTTGCCTTGGAAAGACTTACATGAGCTAATTCTGAGTGAAGTAAGCAGAACAAGGAGAATATTGTACACAGTAAGAGCAACATTGTGTGATGATCAACTATGATAGACTTAGCTCTCCTCAACAATACAATGATCCAAGACAATTCCAAAAGACTCATGATGGAAGATGCTAACCACATCCAGAGAAAGAACTATGGAGTCTGAATGTAGATGGAAGCACACATTATCACTTTTTTTGTTGTTTTTTATCTTCTCTTTCTTGTGATTTTCTCCTTTGTTCTAATTCTTCTTTCACAACATGACTAATGTGGAAATATGTTTAACATGATTGTACATGTATAACATATATCAGATTGCTTACTATCTTGGGGAGTGAGGAGGGAAAGGAGGGAAGGAGAAAAATTTGGAACTCAAAATCTTGTAAAAATGAATGTTCCAAACTATCTTTACGTGTAATATTATTAAATGTTTAAAAAAAAAAGCAAAAACCAAACAAACGAAAAATGTTTTGCTTCTGACAACCACCTCCCTCAATCTGTTCTCCCATCTATCAGCCTCCCTCTTCTCTTATCGCCATCTCCTCCTACTTTCTTCTAGGGTAAGAAATTTCTATACCCAATTGTGTGTGTATGTTATTCCCTCTTTGAGCCAACAATGAACAGAGTAAAGTTCAAGTGTTCTTACCTATCTTCTCCATCTTCCCTTCCATTGTAAAAGCTCTTTTGTGTCTCTTTAATGTGTGATAATTTACCTCATTCTGTCTTTCCCTTCCCCCTTCTCCCAATGCATTTCTCTTCTTCAATCCTTAATTTTATTTATGAGATATCATTCCATCATATTCAACTTACACTTGTGCCCTCTGTCTATGTATACATCTTCTAACTACTCTAAAATTAGAAAGTTCTTAGGAGTTACATGTATCATCTTCCCATGTAGGAATGTAAATAGTTTAACCTTATTGAATCCCTTATGATTTCTCTCTTCTGTTTACTTTTTTATGCTTCTCTGAGTCTTGTTTTTGAAGGTCAAATTTTCTAT